GACCGACAGACGGTAAGTCACTAAAGTGCTCCTTTTCAGGCCCTGGGCTCCACTTTCGCCCAAATGCAGTGAGGCAGCCGAGCCCGGATGAGAACATCCTTTGGAGAGAAATACTACTTATTTCCGATATGAGTAGTTTTCGAGACTAGCATTAATTTTTGAATAAAATTCTAGTCAGCTTAGGTCGCTCTAAGTGATTCAGGGTCTGACAGCTAAGTTTCCCGACAATACCTCCAAAAAGATGCATCTCATCCAGGCTGGAATGGGCTGCCGTCCATTCTGGATCAAGCGTCGAGATTGCTGAATGCGGTTCGAGTCCCATCAGGGCGAGGTGGGAGGCCGGGTGGCGTTGAGTCAGATCCTTTTCTCATCTCGTCGAGCTGTGGAGCAGCAAAACCACAAAACAACATTCACTCACATTTACACACGCCTCTGGCCACGGTTGATTGCCCAAAAGCGATGATACCACTTTCTTTCGTGTCCCCGGTTCACTGGATCAACCGCCTTCTCATCTGACAAACTATGTTGTCATGGCAATGCTTGATACAGTTTAACTTTGGCAGGGCGTTTGGCAGTCAAGTGGACAGACCCTGTGCCCCTGGAAGACCTTCGAGAGTGGGTGAACTGCAGTGCAAAGACACAAACTTACCGGTTGGCAGCTGAACTGTTGATAGTTGGTGAAAACAAGAAAAGATGAGGCCAAAGTGCTGATGACTTTGCCGTTGATGCTTTTTCTTTTGCCAGTGCTAACAGCTTCTTTCAACACAACCACAACCACAAAGAGAAACGCACAAAGAGACACACTCACACCTTGTAAACGGATCGTCAGGATGGACGTCGGAATGGCAGGAATGCAGGCAGATGAAGCAGATCAAGAGTCCGTCAGACTTTGTACACTTCTACTTACGCAGCAAGCCACACCAGTTCGTCTCGTGGCAGCAGCGAAAGTTGTAATTTTGCGCCAAAAGTAGGGGAGCTGCAGCACACGGTGACGGCCTGTGGCTGAGACAACACATCCACACGTCCACACGTCCTGAAGAAGCATTACGGTGTGTCCAAGGCCTACAAACCTTTGTTTTGTGTCTTTACGTTGCAGTAGGTGGGCCATTCTCCTGCGCATAAATCGCGACTGTGTCCATGCTAAGTCTGCTCTCCAACAAGAGGTTGCGAAGGAAATTGCTCATCCCAGCTCGTCTGTTAGTGGCGTTGTAATGGGAGAAAGTTGAAAGATTAGCGGGCTTCGAAGTCGGGCTGATCCACTCTGTTGAAGAGGAGCCCAGCCAACTGGGCTACTTGGCAGACCAACTTGTGCTGCATCACACCGAAATGCATACCGATCAACAGACGAGGCTTGTGCACTATTGCGTACTCTTCAGCAACACACTCTACACACACACACACACATGCAGGACAGAATAGAGTGCTTCATGGACACTCGGAGTTCCAGGAAAAGGGCATAAACAACGTTTTTCAGACTTATTTTTCTGTTTTTATTTAGTTTTCTTAAACCGTCAGCATATATCGTTTAAGGTGATTAAAGACTGGTAAATGAATGTTCTCACAATCACATAAGCACACCTATGCATCCACTGAATTTCACATAGCTTTGCTTTCCCAAGAGTTATTCTCATCTCGGCAGGAATGATCTGCTCTCCTCTGCTACATAGACGGGACTCGAGCCCGGGCTGTGCTAGTGCAGCGTATAATCAAGACTTCGCCAAACTGCAACGATAGCCCTGGAGTTACGAAGCAGATGTGAATATCAACTAAGTCCAGGCATTTTCGCATATCACATTCTATGATTTGACTGTGAAGAAGGCAATCGACTAGACTACTTATTTTTTATATAAGTAGGTTTTCGAAACTCTCGGCAGTTCATGTGTATGTAAGGTGTATTCGCGCTGTTTCGGCAAAGATTTTACTTTCCCTTTCCAACCAGTCCTGACACCACTTTTCCACGTTTCCCTCAACCGCTCTGGGCCACTATTTGCCACCCACCCTTTCGTTACCTCCACGTATCATATTTTGGGTCGCGATAAAGGGCTAAACAACTCCAACA